TTTATTAGTCAACAAAATAATAATAAAGATCAGCAGCTATACTGCGGCCGTCCAGTAAAGGTTAAGTACTCATTTACTTGCACAAAGCCTGTCAATAGTGTCATCGAATATGGATGCATTCAGCCAGTCTCCATACTTCAAATAAGTTTATGCTATGTATGTCTGTATTGTAGTTGAATTTTCATAAAAGTTGAACAGTCACAAGAAATTAATGTTGGCTTGTCACGGAATGACTAGGCAAGAAAATTTTGAAGCAAATTCAAACAACCATAGAGGCATATTCTCAGAACTGAGAATGAAGAAAGACTTTGGCGAAAGTACAGTTGCATGGAAATTATATACAAGGAAGAACATTTACATTTACACATTGCTGTTGCGCATTTCTACATGTATACCTCCGAAATTTGGATACAAAAATACATATCATCCCGAATAACTCAGGAGCACTTATTCTGCGTTGCGTGTTAACAGCAGATCTTCAGAAAGAGAAAAAATACGAGGTGATAATAATACATGGCAATGATGATGATAATAACAATGATGATACTATAATAATAACAACAATTATAATATTAATAAGAGAGATTGAATGAAAGTAAATGTTTTGTACCCCATGATGCAATATAGATCTTTAGGAGGCGGGAAGCAATGGCTATGCCTGCAAAAATAGATCATACAGTTACATGAGGGGGAACAAACAGCCGCTTGAAAAAGAGAAAGAAAAAATCCCAACGTAGTACGTGTATATAAATGTAGATCAAATTCACTTCTTTAAAAAGATTCAATTCAAGTGAACACGCTCTCCATTTCCCATCTCAGTTTCCGCTTGGTATATGTCTATAAACAAACATTGGGAATGAACAAATTAACAGAAGTTATAGAATAAGAGACTTTTTTTTTTTCAATTTGCAACAAAGCACAATTTTGCCAGATATAAGTACTGGGTTATTCAATTCAAACGGCTGTGTGGATAAGTTACAGGCAGTAACGAAGAGAGGAGGGAACCTTTTCAATAAAAGCCTGAGCATAGAAAACGCACATTGACAAGATGATGGTCATGTTGTGCTGGAGAAAAAAAAAGCTAAACAAGCAGAGGTTAGCAGACCGAAAGACAGACAGACAGACGGATAGACAGACAGACAGACAGAGGGATGGACGGACAGACAGACAGACAGATGCTCTGAAACGGACAGTCAGACAGACAGACACACAAGACGGACGGAAAGAGTGACATAGAGACAGAGAGACAAGCAGACAGACAGACAACTAGATAGATGGATAGTGAGACAGACAGTCAGGACAGGAGGGACAGCAAATAAACAGGATATCCTAGCAGTAAGCTCAAGAAGAACCAAATGTCCAAGAAATGACAGAGACTCGAGACACACAACAAAAACCCACAACAGCAGTGGCAGAGCAGGGAGAAACACAGACAGAAACCTGCACCAGAGACACTGATATATATATATATATATATATATATATATATATATATATATATAGATAGATAGATAGATAGATATAGATATATATAGATAGATAGATACATTTTTATATTTATGCGAGGCAGCGTGGTTAAATCAGGCGTTTGTCAAAATAATGAAATTGAAAAAAAAATTGGCAGTTTTCTACCAGTCTGGTAATTTTTAATTTTTATCGAACTTTTGTTTTTTGTCTTAACACCATTGTTGTCCAATTAAGAACACATTTCCGGGTTAATTTTACCGAAAAACGTTGATTAAAGGCACAAAAAATGAAAACTTTCAGTTTCCATGGACCATCAAGCTATGGAAATAACCAAACTTAGGCGGCAATTTTCTCGCTAATTCTACCTTAGAAACCACCTTCTTCAATCTCAAATATCTTGACTTTTATTCAAGATAGGTGGGCATTTTTTTCACTGATAGCAAGACAATTTAAACAAGTTTTAATTAAGATGTTAGTTACCAATAACTCCACCTGATGAGCTACTGATTACACCACGTCGTGACACATTATAAATATGGAATTATATAAACATACAGCTGCTCTAGCACACAAGCAATAATTCATTCACTAAATCAAAAACAGTGCAAAGAAATACAAGAAGTGGCAAACTTAAGGTAGGACTGACAGCATAAACATGGCGTAAAGTAAAAAAGCAAGAAAAGCAGAAAGTGAAAGTCACAAGAGAGGGACAGTAAAGAAATTGGAACTACAAGCGGTGCACTAAGCAAGAAAAGCAGAAAGTGAAAGTCACAAGAGAGGGACAGTAAAGAAATTGGAACTACAAGCGGTGCACTCCAGCCACTGAAGGGTACAGGTGCACTCCAGCCACTGAAGGGTACTGGTGCACTCCAGCCACTGAAGGGTACAGGTGCACTCCAGCCACTGAAGGGTACAGGTGCACTCCAGCCACTGAAGGGTACAGGTGCACTCCAGCCACTGAAGGGTACAGGTGCCCTTCCTGTTTAGTATTGTTTTAGTAGAGGTTTTACGGCGCTTGCAACTGCATAAGGCCATATGAGCGCCAGAAGATTAGAGGTGTTACAGGAGAGTAACAAACATAAAAAAGGAGGAAGGACGACAGATGTTTAATAGGAAAGAAGAAGCAAGAAGCAAACCACACCAGAGCACCCGCCAACCACCCACGTGCCCTTCCTGTAAACTCAAAAAGAGCCTTAGAGTCCAAAAGCAAACAAAATGGTCTAGAATAGCTGCTAGAGACAGAGACTTACATTCAAAACATACACACAGGTCTAGAACAGACATTCAAAACACAAACATGTCTAAAACAGTTGCTGCAGACAAAGACAATCAAAACGCAAACAAATAATATGTCTTTGTTTTTGTTTTAGTAGAGGTTTTACAGCGCTCCAAACTGCATAAGGTCACATGAGCGCAAGAAGATTAGAGGTGTTACAAGAGAGTAACAAACATAAAAAATAAGAAGGGGAGATAAGAACGATAGAAGTTTGATAGGAAAGAAGTAGAAGCAAACCACACCAGAGCACCCGCCAACCACCCGCAATAATAGGTCCAGAACATTTGCTGCAGACAGAGATTCAAAACAAACAGGTCTGAAAACACCTATTCAAAACATAAACAAACACATCTAGAACAGTCGTTGCGGTCAAACACATTCAAAACAAACAAACAGGTCTCAAGTAGTTGCTGCAGAGCACTGAAAAACACAGATTTTTATACATGCAAAAATAAAGGTCTATATATATACATGTGAAGCAGCTACTCTAGAAAATCAATAATTTATTTGCTATACAAAATAAAATGCATAGAATAGAAACACAAACAACAGCAAAATTAAGATCAGACAAGCTGTTTAAAAATAGAGTTGGAAATAAAACAAGACAGGCAGACAGATTGGCAGAGCAAAGAAACTATACTGCAAGTGCAAGCCCTCCAGCCACTGAAGCAGTTGTGACCTTCGCCGTAAAACAGTATAAACAGTTTTTTGAGCTTTTTTTTCGCTCACAAACGCATAAGGTCATATGAGCGCCAAGGGGTGGATGTCAACAGAGAAGTCCTTACAGGGAATCAGACTTACTCTGCTCACCTCTTTGGCTTCAACAGCACTAAGTCTGCTTTGACTATCAAGGCACTCCTGAAATAGCGGGTCACAAGGGTTCCATAAATATACAAAAGAAGTAGAGGAAAATGACGATAGTAAGGATTAGGAAAGAAAAAGCAGCAGTTCCCTGTCGCAAGTCAGACAGTTATGAGCATGACATTGATGAATCAGCCCATTTACAATTAAATTTCTACTGTGCATAAGAACTCGAGATGTTAATGTCCTCCCTTTGGGAATGGCCTAAAGCCTAAAGACACTTCATTCAGTTTGCCTGACTGTACGATGACCAGCGGGTCTAAGAGCTTTGAGCTCGGTGACAGTCACTGGACGGTTGCACAGAACAAGTGGTAGCTGTGGAGTTGTCATTTTTGTGGAGTTGTCATTTTTGTGGAGTTGTCGTTTTTGTAACAATAATAATAATAAAAATAATTATAATAATAATAATACAAATAATAGATATCATATGTATAGCGCAAATTCCCGCTCAACAGCAAGTGCTATGTGCTTTAAAATCTATATTACTAACCCAGGAGACCTTATAGCTTTCTGAAACAATCTCAATTTCCTGGGAAGCATACAGTGCAAGCTGCCATTTTATAAGCACTCAAACACTAACATACTGACAAGAACTTCCGCTATCTACGGCCTGGTACCCATTCCCACCTGGGTGAAGTGAGGAAAATTTGTGTATAGTGCCTTTACCCTGGACACAACTTTGGGCCCGAGGCTAAAATCCTGAACCTGCAAGCTCATGATTATGAATTCAAAAGCCTAACCACTAGACTACCGACGCCACGATAATGTTTAGTTTTAGTATGGTTCTACAGCGCTCACAACAGCATAAGGTCATATGAGCACCAAGGGGTGGATGTCAACAGAGAAGTCCAAACGGAGAATCAGGTTTACTCTGTTCACCTCTCTAGCCTCAACAGCACAAAGTCTGCTTCGACTATCAAGGCACCCCAGAAAATAGCAGTTCACAAGAGAGTGACAAACATACAAAAGAAAAAGAGGAAAAAAGATGAAAGTAAGGATGAAGAAAGAAAAAGCAGATACTTGGTCAGGAACCAGATCAGTACATGAATGTAACATACATGTACATGTAGTAATACGTCGACAGTGTCTGGCACAATAAGGCCAACTCTTCAAATTTTCCAGAAATTGTCTATTTGATATGCAGCAAAGCAACGTCAACAGAATCATCTCAACAACTGATGTAAAAGTTCCACAGTTGGCCTGCTCCAGGGGGACACTGGCAAACTACCAAGGAAGGATGTTAACATCGTAATGGGAGATACCATTGCCAAGATTGGTCATTTTGTTTCAAGTTTCAGTAAGAGTGTTACGGCACTTGCAACACAATAAGGTCATATAAGTGCTGAAGATTAGAGGTGTTACAAGACAGTAACAAAGACAAAAAAGGAGAGATCAGGATGATAGATGTTTGATAGGAGAGAAGGAGCAAACTTCACCAGAGCACCCGCCAAAGGTTCGGCAGGATAATAAAGGTTATGATCTGGCCCTCATATGACCTTACGCAGTTGCGAGCGCCGTAAAACCTTTATTAAAACAAACAAACAAAGGTTATGAGGGCATTATGAGACGACAAGGCTTGCAACAAATGAACAAGAATGGCGAACAATCTGCAAACAACTTTGCTTTCAAGTTTTGTGGCAAAAAAAATACATTTGAAATACAAATAACTTGGTACTATTTCACACAAAATTGAATCCTTCAGTGAGTGCATAATTTCTGAAGCTAATTACATTGACCTGTGTGTCATTCAATAGACCAGCACAGATTTGTCTACAATTTTGAGGGAACTATTTTTAAAGTTGTTGCTTCCTTCAAGTCCAAAAGAAAAAACAAAGGAGCAGAAAAATTCACAACTCCCACACTTTTGTACTAGAAAGGTCACAAAGGATTCACAAAAATTAGGCCCTTGTGAAAAATCATTTTTGACATTTGATGAAAACTATTCTCAATTATTTTTCATAAGGTGTGTCCATCATTTTCAAATTTTGAAAAATACATTCTCAGTAAAAAGAACAAAAACCAAAAAAAACTTTAACACAACACAAGTCCATGCCAGCACCATTTTCCATCTCTATACCTTACAGAACACAAAGCAAGAGTCTAGAGCGGTTTACATTACAATCTGAATCCTTCTTTTCGCCGATGTTATGTCAAATTTCACTTGAACTTCAGTTTGCCTGGTCCTGTAGCCGACCGTGGCAGGTTCGGGGTTCGGTTTCCAGTTTGCTGAGAGCTGGGCGTACCCAGCGTGTCTTGAGGCGGCCGGCGAGCACTGGAGGGTGTGCCCTGGGGAGAGGCAGACGGTGAAAAAACTGAGGTCAATGAATTACAATCTGGCCCTCCAGGAAATCGCGGTCTTGCGGCCGCACTTGCGGCCCCGTTTTTTATCGAGTTCCGCAATAAACCCGCAATTTTTTGCAATTTTTGCAATTTCTTGCAATTTTAGGCAAAAATACATCAACACTTTAATTTTAACAGAATTTTTAATACGAAATGGTGCGAGTACAGGGCCGATGGGCCTACGTAAATCATGGTATCGGCCCGGCTCAAGCCTACTGAGCGTACTCTAAAAGCTATAACCGGAAATTCAGGCCGGAATGCATCATGTACAACACAAACTGAGACATAGGCTAGGCCGAGAAGGTGGCCTTCTCTGGGCTAGGTCTTTACCTAATGTGTGTAAGCGTGCGCGTGTGATAAGAAAGCAGGTGTGTGCGTGTATGAGGTGTACGTGAGTGTGTGTGCGTGTGAGTGCGCGCGCGTGAATATTGTTCGTACATGATGCATGTGTCTACATACACGGTAACCGGGCACCTAGTCTCAGTATCTACGTACACGGTAACCCACCGGAATGAAAATTAACCAATATTTGTCCTGTGCTGTCACTTGTTGAAATAAAAAAAGAAAGTTATACTCGCGTCTTGTCGGGCTCACCATCGTTACCGGTCAGTGAACCTGTGCTTTCGCATCACATTGCGAGTACCGGTTGGGGTCACCAAAGTTCATTCAAAGTCTGTGCGCTACGAAGTATAGGGCTCCGGAGTGGGAGAATTATTGATAAAAAAACAAAAATGTACAGTCGTGGGAGGGCTGGAGTTGAAGGCTACACCGGATGACAAAAACTGAACTTGGAATTCTTAACTGCCCGGTTAGCATATATATATATATGCGCGACACTGAGACACTGTTGTTAATAACATTTGATGAAATTGTATTGTTTGTCATGATTTTTTAAAAGGCTGTGCTGCTTTTACGCTACCGGAACTCAAAATTGTCATGTTTTTTAAACTAAAAATGTTAAGCCCGTATTAATGCGCCTGGGATGGGAAGGTTGCAATTTTTTGCAATTTTTAGGTGGTTTACCTTGCAATTTTTTGCAATTTTCCTATTTCAAAAATGCAATTTTCCGCGGGGCCAGTACAATGCAGTCAGTAATGGCACACATGGATTTTCAATGCTTTCAGCCCTAGGTGTACCATTTTGCCCATAGGCTCCAGTGGCTAAGTGAGTAGTGAGTTTTGACTCAAGCAATGTCAAGCAAGTGTCGGTGACACGGGGATCAGATGGGTGGTCACTGGGGTGTGTCCTTGAGCAAGACACGACAACCCTAGCTCAAATTACAGGGCGCTGCACAGTGGCGACCGACAGTGGCATTGTTTGTAAACTGTTCTATATTTGTGTAATAGTGTGTATTTATGTATGCATTTATGCATGTATGTATTTATGTATGTACGTATTTATAATTATGTATTTATGTATGTATGTTTGCCATTGTAAAACAAAGTGCCCTTCTGGGACAAATAAAAGCGGAGACTACTGTATTATTATTATTATTACACTTACACAAAATACACATGCACATGATGTGCATACACTCATAAATAAACACCATAATGAAAATCTG